AGTAACAAAATCGATCATCGCAGAGCCAATCTAATCAGTACATTAGAGTAGTGTAGTCCTTACAATGGGGATCAAACGTATATATGACGAATAATAGCAGTTATGTATATTTATATGGATCTAAGAAAACCTATACTGGGAACAAGCATTTCATATTAGGAAAGAAATATATAAAGATCTATTCCTACTAACTCATCGTTATAAGGCATTCCAAATGTTATGTTATACTTAGATACGTATTTATGTAGATAGATAAAGAGTACTTACTACCTACTACGTGACATTTGACAAATGGCCTGAGATTTACCGGAATGGGACCAATAATTCAAAACGACAGAGCTGCAACCCCTTACTTACTTTTACGCTGAATTTTACGAGAAGTTTTTATTGTTTCATTTCGCCTGAGGTCCGAGTGAAACTGGTGCGGCTTTATTCAGAAAAAGAAAGTTTAAAGTTATTGTTAAAGTACTAGTAGTAGCGAATACAAAGTACAAAGTAATTTAAGGCACCTAAATAAAAATCTTATATGTAGGTATAGGATTTTATGAAAAAGAAATTTATTATCACATGTTCTAATTTTTATATAATACCTACTGTAGGATGAGAAGAATAAAATAATAATAAAAAACCAGCTAAATGTTTCAGGTGTATCTGAAATAGAATATATATGTATAATACTGTACCAATTATTCTTAACTAAAAAACCAAAGCAATGTTTACTTTGGACCAAAGCTGGCGTAAATATCTGAAGTGGACATCGCTCGTTGTATATTTAGAGCCCGTATTGAGATATGGGAGAATTAAACGCCAGTTATCAAATGAGGTGTTATTATTGTACATAAAATTATAACAATATCAGTCACTTATTTGTATACCAAATTACAAACAATAACAAAGTTTTATCACTTGACTTATGTTAATAATATTTGAACTATCAGAATACCTAATGTCACTAAAGTGACAAGGGTATTACTAATATTTTTGGACATTGAATTTTAAACTTTGTTATTTCTAATATATTAATAGAGAGAGTTATTGTATATATTAAGTAATATAAAATGTTAATTATTCTACGATATTTATTAAATATGGTAAGTGCATAAGCACACAAGACAAAGTCAAGGGTAATACTCAAAGGGTAATCTAGTATTACCCTTGACTTTACTACTTTTTTGTGATCAACGTCAGCCTATTCTTTCTCGTGATACAATCTATGTTCACACCAAATTTGATTCTCTCCTTCACCCCTATATATCATATAGGTACTATCATAGTACCGTATTTGTTGCTACCACAATAAAATAGAAATGATGGGTCCTTTAATTGCTATGATTGTGATTAAAACCTGTCTAAAAGATTAGTAGTAAAAAGTTAAAAAACAGACAGTTTCGCTTTTATTATATTAATATATAAATTATATGTTGACGTCTACTTACAACTAATATACTATTTAATACATTTTGAAATAATAATACGTAACGTATGATAGATCGATTTTTAATAAGGATAAACAATAAAAATATTTTATTGTTGGTACTTCAAGTCTCTATTTAATTTCTGCCTAGAATAGTTTAGTACTGAAAGTATAAAGTGTATTAGACAAAATAAAAAAGTAATTACTACAGTTGATAAGGTTTCCAAAGTTCGAGATGGGTGGATCTCGACAACGTCTTTGCCATTTATTGTAACTAATTATGACAATAAATGGATCGTGATTGTTTACATATATTTTTTAAATAATATATTTTCATATGTTGAATTATTAAGTTATGATATATAAAACATTTTACACATTTTATTCTCAGTTGTAATAATTGGTATATTTATTATTGAAAGCTGTTTTGTATGTTCATATTAATTCACACCAGCCCCAGTAAGCCGGATATATTAGTTAGTATTACAAATATTAAAACATGAAGGTTTCAAACGATATTTATTATTCTACCAAGCTTAAAGGACTCAATGGATTTAAATGAAATCTGATACATAAATGGACTTTATCCTCAATTAATATACAGGATACTCGGAACCCAACTTACATATGTGAATACACTGGGTCTTTACCTGGCGGAGTATCCCACTGGTTGATGTTGGTAAATAAAAAGGCTTAATAAAATTTCGATACAAAAAAATAACTATAATGTTGGTAAACTTAATATTAAATTATCGAAATAGACCGTATCGTCTATTTTTTATATCTATCGTAACATCTGAATCCAATACACGAATAAAGTTGAAATGAGAAGGGAGAAGATCAATATGATTAAAAGAAATGTGTATTATTTTTTGAAATGGGAATAGAAGGGTTCCATAATTAAAACAAATATTCCGTATCACTTTGCAGTTCAAATAAAACAGTAATTTTCTATTGTCAAAATTTTTCAATTACTTTTACCTTTCTCTATTATTCATACCGTATTTATAACGAACCAAGGTTTTTACATGATATATGGGTTCAGTGCGCTGCCCAATACTCTTCTGAAGTCGACGGAAAAACTCCATAGAGCCTACCGAACGGAGTCGAGTTGTAGTAGAATAGGTGCACTGCAAAAGCAACAAAAAGTGAAGTCTAGCCAAACGTCCACCCTGTCACCGCCAGCCCACCAGTTCAGATTACATCGCAAAATCCAATTTCGTGGTTTTGTTATCGCTCTCTCAGGGAATTTAGAAGATTATTCTTCTTTATAGTTTAAGTTTCACTGACGTTAACCATTAACTATTAACGTGATATTGCTTGTATAAAAATGCGTTGTAAATTTTATTAACCTTATCCATGTACTTGCAAAATTACAGTTCATTAATAATTGAATTCGCTTGAAAAACAATTAAAAACATACCGCCATAATGGGAATTTATTCTTTGCTCAAATATTTTTATCTATAGAATAAATTTTGCTCGTAAAATAAAGAGACATAAGTAACTACAATTTGAAAACTTAGAATTATCAACATTAATATTAAAATCTGTCAATAAGCAGTTCACCTAACTATTCTGTCGGATAGATGCTTGGTTATTATATTGTTTATCCGACGGTTGCTATCTGTCAGCCAGGCTGACAGCTTTGGTGTATTATCAACCTGCGAAAGTATATATTTTAACAATACGAATATATATTTAGACACCGAAATTACGATATTTTCTGATTCGAGATTGAGATTTTCAATAAATACAATATATTATTTGAAGTATATACATACAACACATAATATATGTAAGTAGATATAGTTATGTATTAAAATTATTATTTTTTAAGTCTCTTGTTTCAATAAGTAGATTTATTATAGGATAAAATTGTAAGAGTTTGTAATAAGATTTGAGAAATGAACGTTATGTCAACGACACGCTACCCCGGCTTTAGGGTAAGATAAATGAGGGAACATAATGCAACGGCTCATAAACTTAATATATATGTGATTTTTCTAATATACATATATATGTGGAATATCATGAAGGCATAATTTTATACTTCCAAAGTCCACCTGGTACCTAGGTACCTAGGTACCAACCTAACCTAGGTTAATAGGATACAGAAAAGGAGTAGTAATAATGAAGCTATTAACAGAACTCAACTTAGAAAAAATACCAAAATTATTACAACATCACTTATATTACATAAACTTGTCCAAAGTGAAGAGATCTGGGCTGACTTGACTTAATGTAATTCATATGTTGTATTATCTAAATGAATAAAGCCTCTGAAACTGTTGAGCATCTAAGACCAATATTGATAGCGGATGAAACCAAAGGATAAATATACCTGCAAATAAGAGATGAGACTTGGTTTATTTGGCTCCATAAACTTTATTTTTTCATTATAAATTCATACTTACAACATAGCCATTTAAAGGGCATCAAGGGCTACTTGCTTTGCCTTTCTTTATATTCGCTACATTTGCATAATATGGGTTTACTACCGTCCTTAATACATAAATTGATGCAAACTTTCGCAGATCATGTCTTTATTATGATAACACTGATAACACAACCGTCGAGGGAATGGTGTCGGTCGGTAATGATGTCATTTTGTAACTGATAATGTTATGATTAGACAGTAAATAACAGACTCCTATCGGTGCAGCGGAAACATCCCCGACAATATTAAAAATAAACTAGTAACGACCGCACAAATAAATGTATTTGTCTACTAATACGAAAAATAATACATTTAGTATTAATCAACATTAAGCGAAGTATTAAGCTAAATGTTCTTTAAATATGGGTTCAGAGACTAAGAAACTCAGAGTAACTATTAAATATAATTTTAAAAGATTTTACGATGAATCGTTTCGCTATTAAGGCGACGCAGAGACCAATATCTCGAAGTATTGCAAAAGGATAAAACAAAATAAAGTAACTTGTATGGCGGGCCGGTTGCAAGATGCAGAAATCTGTGCGCGGTGTGGGCGTGAGCGAACCGGTCTAGACAAGATGAACTTTAAGGATCAAACAAAATAAAATAAAAGTTGGCTATAGTGCGACAGTGTCCTGGGATAATGTTCCTAATGTTCAATTTTCTTGGAAATTCGATTTAATGAAATCCACTATACATATGGTCAAATTGTATAAAAATAGGTGAAAGCAGATATTTAGCATTTTTATAACCATTAAGTATTAGCGCCTGTAACTATGTAAGAATAAGGAATAATAAATTATTCCAAAACCTTCCAGACCAAATATTTAATATTTGTTATAGTTATATACAAAGTTTAATATATATTAGGAAAATTAATTTGCAAACATTTTTCCAATCGCAAGTTAAATGACCCTGTAAGTGTAGGAAGCATTTACTTTATAATAAAAAGGATTTTAAATAATAAGATTTTTCTTGAGCGCAATGAACTCCGCCAGAGTTCATTGTGATATCCCGCGAGAAAACCTCTAATTTAAGTCGAGTGGACACAATTGGAAGAAAACACAGGAGAGAGCGTCGCGCCGGATTAGATTAGCACAGATAAGATTAGTGGCATCGCAAGTGCGGCAGAGGCGCGCACTGGCCACTGTCTGCCATATGAGCCTGCTAATTGCCAACTATACGTAGACGGTTTCAAATGCACTGGCACAATGACAGCAGCTGCCCGACACTCTCGTCCGATGATACCAATGACCTAAATTGTTACGATGAGTCCCGAATAAAAAATGCATCTGTTGGTCTTTGAGTCTGTCAGTATTCAGCATAGACAATACAGGAACGTAAGGTACTTTAGTCCTTCATGAATATTTATCGCGACGAAGTGCCGCCGCGGGTCGGGGTTTCGCGGACTGGACTCGGGCGGGGCTGCACCCTAATGCAATGATTCATATTATTCGGTTTGCGGCCGAGTTGAACGTCTTCCATTATTGTCATTCATCGGAGGAAGTGGGCGGCGAGGGGCGGCGCGGGTGCTGCCGGCAGCCCCCCCGCACAATTCTCTCTCAGTCGCTCGCCGACACTCTCGCTATTAACACGCGAGAGCCGCGATGCACGTCACCTACGCTTAACGCATCCAGTCGTGATTCGCGTGTGTGTGCCTTCGTGCTCCGTGTTCCTAAAGTCTCGAAGCTCAATCAAGTCACGTACAGTGCAGCTACAGCCAGTGCGCTCTTACAGCCCAGCAGAAACGTTAGCCGAGTGCACTACCAGCACCTAGCACGCCGGAGCCGACGGCTCAGCTGACCGGCGCGCCCACTGCCTACGACCGCACGGTGAGTGCGATCGATCACTGCATGCACGCGCGCGACAACTCTTTACGTGTGTCTATTTCGAGTAGCTCGCAAATCTGCTCACTGTGAATCGTCAGTTCTTATTTCATATAATTACAATTGGGTGTCACAGTTGCCAAAAATTTACGGTATCGCAATATAAATGCGGATTTTACGTGCCGCTGCATTTGCGTGAACTATTGATAAACAATCTCATTTTACAGCATAGATGCCTGAAGTCAATACAATCCGTGGAAAATTGAGTTGTTTGATTTGATCCTGTAATCGAGAATATGCGCGTTAAGTAATCAAAACATATGAGTGCGTAGTGCTAGCCTAGTGTTACGTCGAAAATGCAAAAGTGTGTCGTGGGTGCACCTTTGCGGTTCGTCGAACAACGCCAGCTGACTTCCTGTCGTGTCAGTGATACTCTTGCGCAAAATGCATGACTCGTGCCGCCCGCCCGCCGCGAACCGCCTCGCCGCCCGCCGGCCGGCCGGCCGTCGCGCCTGCCACCGCTTTCCCGTTCGCATCAACGCCACTCTGTAAACACATTTGAAAAATTTGAATAGAATCAAATGCGCTTAATTTTACGCACTTTTTTAGTAGTCATTTATTTATCATGTTTAATATACATATGGGAAGCAGATTCAAATTAAAAAAAACTGATTCAGATTCCTCAAGGACTGTTTACCAGATATGTGAATTTAGTACAGAAATCGATAATATTATAAAAGTTACAAAAATTTGTGTTGTACATATAAATACAAGTTTCGGCTTAATTAATCTTAATCATCTACTATTTAGTGCTATACGATATTTAAATGCCTTATTTAAAGAACTTTTACCACTATTTTGTTATAGAAAAAGATAAAACCAGACTTAACGGATTTTAAAAAAATTCACGTAAATATTATATAAAATGTTATAAAGAAAACTTTTCAACTCGATGTAGAGCTGTAAAATCTGTGATATCGGTTATCAATCTGCTCTTATGAAGGTCGCTCAGATAAGCGCATTCTGTTAGCACTTTTGATTCTTTAAATAATCATATCTTGTTATGAGCATTAATAAAAAATCTACCCGGCTGTTTCTGGGCACTATGTTGATGCCACCGTATCCACTTTTACAGTGTCTTATAGAGATTGATTTTATCAGTAATTAGTACTATTTAGGTAGTATTTAAATAGTATTCGTAGTTATGTAGTACTCATACTATTGATATATTTTGAAATATAGTTGGAGGGAAAGGGAGATATCAGCAAAACAACGAGATGCCAGATCTTTCTTTCTATGCCAAAGTGTAACGCCCTAGTCCTCCGAAATAGAAAAGCATTCTGAATTTTGTGAAGTCCGTGATGCTGCTATTGCTATTCGAGTGTGTCCTCGGCTTAATCACAACAAAAAAATTATTAACTATTCTGTTTTTATTATTTATATAAATAACTGGCTGAATCGCACTATAAAGACGAAGGAAAATGTTACGCCTATTCATTCATTTGCGACAAGAAAATAATTGTTATTTTTTCCTAGGGATCCATTTTGCTATTTATAAATGCTTTAGAAGAACAATGAACTGTCAGTTGAACAAGTTGATATATGAGTTCTTACTTAAAATTACGTTTACGAACTGTATTATTTTTACGCACTATCATATTCAATTATTAATTTTATATTTATATATACATTATACACACACTATCACATGAATAACACTCCAATAAGATAAAGATATAGTATATATAGATATATTAGTAATAGTTAACTTTCTTTTTTTACGTACACAATTAATTTGTCTCTTCGTAAGAAACATAATTGAAATTACATAATTATTTTTAATTAAATCTTTTATATGATATAAGAATTACAACTTTCGAAATAATTTCGTATTTTTCAAACATGAAAATATAAAGCCATTGAATTCTGTTCCATTTATACAAGGTGCATGCATTTTCTAAAAGAATGACGTTTCTTTTAGAAAATGCATATATTCTTTCTTTATTTCTATTATAGTAAATATTGTAGTTAACAATACATATCAATGTAGGAAAATTGACGATACCTGCCTACCTACAGCTGTTTGATATCAGGGTCTACCTTATCATGCTTACGTAGGTAGCTATAGAATGTGCGACAGATTAGATAAGTCTAACGAAAACGTACACATTCAATTTGAACAGTTCAATATTTATGTACCTAGACAGGTGATTATAAATCTTCTATTCCTATGATGATATGATACGATGCTTAAAATATAAATAATGGTTAGGGACACTTTGGGGTAATACTGAAAGAGAAGTTAATTATACTGTGCTATAATTATTTTGTAAATAAATATTAATATATATTCAAAATAATTTTTTTTTTCTTTATTGATATTTTTTACAACGCAAATAATATTCACATCGTCTTTTAAAATTCTGTTTGTAATTAATGCTACTTTATTTAATATTATAACTATTAATTTTATGAATATTATTTCAAATTATATTATTATCATATCGCCTTAAAATACAATAATCGACACATTTGAGATTCGCAACGTAATATCCTGGTTTATTTATAAATGTTTGTCAAACTTTTCCTGTGACAAAGTGATAATAGCTGCATGGTAATTTATGTAACACAGATAACATACCACATATGACTGTGATAGATAAATAATGAGTACCTACGCACCCTTTTATACAGCGCAGATAAGAATAAAAAATGGCCAAATAGTCTAATGGGTCATTCCATTGTCATAAGGTTATTCAACATCTAGGAATGCGTTGAGCGCATTAAGGGCAATCACTATCTTCGGTACAAAAGAGTATTGACATAACCAGATAAGAGTGTCGGTATACTAATGTAGGTATCTGTGCGACTGGTTTACACTCATTGTTCCGTTATCATTACGGTTAGCGCATTATGTGTCCGATAAGCAAATAAATGGCTCGCTCTGCGGTCGTCAGCCAGACGCATTTGTCCCATGTACTTGCTCAACGACATCGCGATCGTTCTTCTTTTTTCACAACTGACATAAAGGATGTTTTATTCATGACGCATTGCGCAGAGGTTGTGCACTTGGCCTTATATGTTAACAATATAATTTACAAGTTACTACCATAGCTTTAAAAGTTTGTAACTTAATTATTGTGATCCAGACTTTTATTGACAACTTCCTGGTGATGCCTAGTTAGCTTTCGAAGCAGACTGATTTAAATATCCTCGACACTATAGTACCTAATTCTAATTTGTTGAGTTAATATTTTTTTGGACTTACGGATTACTTACTGTGATGAATGATGGAAATTCTCTAGACTATTATCCACGATACATGTGTCTCTCGACCAATTTTCGTTGCACATGTTTTTTTAATGGTGATCAATATCGTTGATTGCAATTAATAGGAATCATCAATTACTAAACCAATCCGGTCCGGTTACCAGATAAAACGGATTTGTTGTGGGGACTACTAGTTAATAGGATTTATTTTATATAATCATACTCTGTCTTAGTCTGCCCAAAACCCATGTGTTTTGGTTCTACAAAGGGGCTTTAAAATATATTGAGTATTAGAATATTAGGAAGCACCGTAAAGTACCAGTGACGTATAATTAATTGTGTTGAAGTAAAAAAAACATTTTCAGTCCAAGCTCATCAATAAGAGGTACGTAGGTTACTATTGCATAACGAGAATTTCGTTAATCTCTAGCTCAATTAATCTCCAGTTCAGTTTCATTTCAAACATTTAGATACGACTGTTAATCTGAAGTCTCTTATCAGTAAGACGTTAATAAATGAAAGCCGAGAACCGAGGACACTATAAATAAACGTGGCTATTAGGTTCTTCGTGGATAATACAGATTGAAATCAGAGGCTCTACCATGAAACGTAATTTCTAAGATTACAATATGTTTCGTGATTTTGATGAAACACGTTCTTAACTTGTCGTTAACCCTACCATTACCTGCATACTTCCTTCATGATCTTAACGTCAATTTTGTATATCGAAAATCGGACAGCTTTTCAAATTTGGAATTAAACCATTTATGGCTTTAATTCTAATATGACAATGTTGTGATTGGGGCTATCATTTGGTGATACGGTGGAGAAGCGCGTCGCGCGTTCGTTCACTTACCTCATTCTATATTTAGTGTAAGCGTGGTGGCTTGGCGCGGCGCGGTGACGTGGCGTGGCAACTGCATGCGGAATGCAGTACAGCAAGCGCCTGACCTACCACAACAACACTGTCAGTTTCGGCGCACGCACAGCCTCTCACTGACTTCACTGCATAGCACAAGGATGTATACACTAACTAAGCACACTGTGCCAAATTTACAACCACGGTGCGGTATATTGATTGCTATTAAAAACTCTTCTGCAACTATGATACGTGACAATCTATGATCCAGAACAGCCATATTATACACACTTGTTAAAACAAATTGCGCATCTTGGGTTGCGCATCTTGGGTTTATTCAGTAATCTTCTTTACCGCAATATTACACATCTTGTAATAATTTCACTTATGGACAACTTACCTTCAATGTCCATGAAAAATGTATCCTGTAGTTTTAACGGAATTACATAATACCTCAGTCTTCGAATTTTGATTCTAGGTATGTCTTGCTTATATTAGATACATATAACATGACATATTATTTTGTATTACATTTCTGTAGTATATCAGCATAAAAAGTACATAATCAGCATAAGGAGTGGTACTGGTAGAATAAATGCTGCGTGTTAGGTTGTAGTGGCTCGTATGACAGGGTGCGTCGGTCGAGACGGCGCCGGCTAGGTCAGACACCGCCATTAGTCGCAGATTGATCGAAGCTCCGTCCGTCGCGCAACATAAACGACTTTATCTGGACTTTTGCCGTGACCCAATATAGGTTTAATATAAGGCTTCCTGTCTAGTGTGATAATTAAAAATGTGTCTCCTACAATTTGATAAACAGCTTGTGCATGCTATTACTCTAAAGGCAAGACTACCATTCTTCGTCCCGCCTCCGCCT